TCTACCTCAATGCATTTCTCTCTGGAAGTGAAGACAATTTCTCAACCAGTAATATCAGGGAGTCACAACATAGAAGTAGCCTCTCATGCTCCAAAGTTCAAATAAAGAAGTTTCTAAAATTTCTTTTAGTGCCTTTCTTTATAGGTCTGTACTTCATGGAGACTAAGAGTAAAGCATGCCATAGATAGACAAGAAGAACATTATACTCTTAGGAGTGTAGATGATTCTGTCTTGTCATCCCCATTGAGAAATACCTTCTCTGCAGGCAAGTTCACTCTACCCTGTGGGGACCTGGTGAGCAGGGAGTCCCTGCCTCTGTGCTACTGAGATCAGCCCCTGCAGCTGTGCCCACTGCCCTGCCCATGCTCATTTGCATGTTCCCAGAGCACAGCCCCTCCCTCCACACTATTCATAGTCTGTCCCAGACCCTGAGGGTCAGTCCAGGCAGGACCCAGCATGGACATGAGGGCCCCTGCTCAGCTCCTCAGCCTCCTGCTGCTCTGGCTCCCAGGTGAAGAAGGAAACACCAGGAGTTGTTCAGCCCTGGGAAGTCCTCTGATGACAGGATGACATTGTGGGTGTGTTTTGTCTTTCCATTTCAGGGGCCAGGTCTGACATCCAGTTGAACCAATCTCCACCCTCAGTATCTGCATCTGGAGGAGACAAAGTCACCATCTCCTGCCGGGGCAGTCAGAGTGTTAGCAATGATTTACACTGGGGTCCCATCCCGCTTCAGTGGCAGTGGGTCTGGGACAGATTTCACTCTCACCATCAGCAGCCTGGAGCCTGAAGATGCTGCCACTTACTACTGTCAGCGAAGTTATAATTGGTGTCCCACAGTGACACAAGCCTGGGCCAAAACCACCCAGGGAGCAGCTGCTCCTCCTGGGGCTCCATCTGCTGAGAGCTGCTCTCACATGCAGCTTAGTGGTAGGTGATTGGAGATTTCTGGTCAAAGGGGTTCCCTTCTTTCCAACACTGAACATCCCATATCAGACTAGAACTATTATGTTAATGAACCTCCATCGCCTCTTCTCAAACCCACATTCCATAATTAATAAGGGGGCTTACTCTTGGCCTTGTATATTCTAAGGACAGTTTAGAATAAGGACAATGACAAGGACATATACTCACCTTTGCACCATCACAAAGAGTAGGATCACTGCCTTAACATTTCTCTGTGTTGCATCTGTTATCCCACCCACTCCTAAAACCCAAACTTCACTGCTGTTTAAAGTTCCCTTTTCCAGAATCCCCTTAGATGGAATCACAGCCTGTTTCAGATTGGCTTCTGCACTTAAATGAGCATTTCATTTGTGTCCATGTCATTTCAGGACATATTAGTTTATTCTTAGTCTGTGTCGATTAATATTCCATTGTCTGGATGTGTCTCCATTAATTTATACATTTCACATCTACTGAAGGACACCTTGCAGGCTTCCAATTTTGGTGTTTAGGAATAAAGTGCTGTAAACACTGTGTGCTGCTTGTATGTGAACATCTGGCTAAACCCTTTTGGGAAAATACCAGAGAGTCCAATCACTGCTGGACTAGATGTTAAGTGTATGTTTAATGTTGTAAGAAACCAGCAAACAGTGATCCAAAGTGACTACACCAGCTTGAAATCCCACCAGTGGTGTGTGGCTGAGTCCCTGTGGCAGGAGGAGGGGGCCGCAGGAAACAATCGCTGTGTAAAAGGAAATGTATAGACAATGTCAGGAAATGTCCTAATATAAATCCTGATATAAATCAGTCCTAACATAAATCAGGCAATGGGATAGAGAGTGTGGCGCTGAGAGACTGCTGCTCTGTTGGGGTCAGGAAATCCTTCCTCATCCCTCATCTGGACCATGGCCACACCCTCCTCCAAGGCCACCAGTCTCTCCCCTGGCCACCCCCAATGTAGTCTCCACTCAGCACCACAGGATCTTTGTTAATGTGCCTCATGTTTCTCTGTTCAACTCTTCCCACATTCCTCTTCATCCAGAGTAAGAATCCAAGGCCTTGCAATGCTCCCGGGGTCAGCTGACCTGCCCCTCCCTGTTCTTCCCCACCTTTCTCCTAACACCATGACCTGCAGGGCCTGTAAGGAGGCCACTGCTTAAGCCTGACCACGTGGGGGGACTCACAGTCCTGCCGCAATGGGAGACTGAACATCGGGGCCAGCAGGACACACAGCACCAGGTCTGCTGGCTCCCTGCTGGCGCCACCCTTAACTGAGAGCTGGCACGATGGGGCCACAGGGACACGAGGGAGGAAGGTGGGCGCTAGTGACACACAGGGCGATAGAGTGAGTGTTTTCTTAAACCTACCACCTGGGATTTTCACTGTTTAAGTACACAGAACTTATTTACTCTTCCTGTTCACACTTGCTATTTAATGCAATGCCTGTTTTGGGTTCTGCTAATGATATCTAAATATTTGGCAAATCATCTGACAATCCTGTTTTTTTAAAGATTTATTTATTTATACAAGAACTGGGGTATAGGCCAAAGATGTGAAAGGGTGAGAGAATTCACCAGAGACAGAGCAGGGAGCAGAACAGGCAGAAGAACCGAAGCACACTGCTGAGGGGAGAAGCGGGCTAGACAGGAGAGATCTGTGGGTCCATGTGGAATGTGGGAATCTCCCTGGCCCGCCAGGAATTGAACCGCGTTGCAGAGGCTATGGACTGCTTCACAGCACGACGCTCAATCCCTGCTGTGCCACCTGGTGGGCCCCTGTTCTTATAATCTTGGGTAAAATATTTTAATCATGGAATGGGCAACAACACTTTATGTATGAAAGTTATTTATTTATTTATTTTTACTGTGACATGATCTGTTCAAAATGCATGCCTAGAGTTTCATAACTGATGTAGGCCAAGTGTTGTGTAAGTCAGAAAAGTAAGAAATTATAGTCTATTTCATACATTTTTAAAAACAGTTTTTTAGTTGGAGCCATTAACAATTTTAACCTAAACTTAATTAAATAATTAAAAACATTATTCACAAGTGTAAGATGGACCATGATCTTATTCAAGAGTAAATACAGAAAAAGGATCTGGAAAACATTCACAAACACACTTCCCTGCCCTCCCCAACATACACACAGGTTTTCATAAATTCATCACAGGGCCCTAAAGCAGCCATGGTCCAGCTGTCAACGAGCTGCACTATCCTGCATGTCACAGTTTGTTCACACATGGAAGATCCTCAGCTCCGCATAGGAGGGTGATGCTTGAATGGACATGTTTAGATGCACTTGGAAACAAAGACACTAAAGATGAAAGAACATTCTCTGTGTCACAAGAGCTGGCCACACAGATGACACAGGACACGGGACACAGACAGGCGTCCCCGAGTGCTGGGGACACGGTTCCTGTCTTTGCAGCCACCTCAGGGACTGAGGCTCCTTGACCTGTCACACGCAGTGCAGGCTGGCTCTCTCCATCCACGCCCCTCCCTGCTGTCCTCTCTGCAACCACAGGCTCAGTCCCAGTGGTCCAGGACTAATTCAGGATTGGTGGTTAAACTTACCCAAGTTCCCATCCAGGAACATGCTCTTTAATGATGAAAGAATCTCTGACTTTGTTGGGGTAGTGGGTGAGCATCAAAGACACACGATGCTCCTCATCTCATCCCGTTCATAGCTCTGCACCAGCGAACAGATCCAACTCTCCCTGTGGGGACACCTTCCACCCTACTCTCCTCCACACTTCATGCTATACACTCCCTCATTCCCTTAAGGAAGATCAGTCTACACTGTATGAGCTCCAAACTCAGTGCAGTGTCTCCCTTCACCTTCCTCTACACAGTCTCCTTACTCTACCTGGGTCCCAACTCCCTGCTCCAGCACCAAGAGCTGCTGTCTCAACACCTGGAGGATATTTGGTGACTGATGAACATGCAGATGGAGGAACACAGTAGACCCCAGGGATCACCAGGAGTTGGTCTGGGAGGACGTCAGCTCAGAAGGGAGCACCTGGGGAAGGAGGATGAAGGACGTGAGTGACAGTCCAGGGAGACCGGGCCATGCGCTTGGGTCTGTGTGATGACACAGCGCTGGGGAGGGAGGAGACTGTCAGATATGGGGGAGAACACCCTGAGCTTGGTGCTGAGGCAGACGTGGTGGGACAGGGCCTCAGACAGTGCAGAGACACAAGGCTTAGCTAGAGATGAGGTCAGCAGGGAGGATGCTCAGTATCTGGGCTCTCACAACTCCTGACAGCCACACTCTGCATTGTCCTCCCAACTACTGCATCTGTTTGGCAGTGATGATAATTTTCACTCCAGCAATATCAGAGAACCAGAGTGAAAAGGAAACCTCACTAGCTTTAAGAACATACCCACATGAAAATTAAAACACAATTTCTCTGAGTGTTACATTTGAAAGGATCTGTATTACATGGAGAATAGAAAGTGAAGCTTGTCCTAAATATTGAGATCAAAGACACTCCACTCACAGGTTAGTAACTGATTCTGTCCTGTGTTCTTCAGGCAAAAATGCTTTCTCTGCAAGAAAATGATCAGCCCCTGCAGCTGTGCTCACCTCCCGCCCCTGCTCATTTGCATGTTCCCAGAGCACAGCCCCTCTCTGCATTATATTATAGTCTGTCACAGCACCAGAAGGTCAGTCCAGGCAGGACCCAGCGTGGACATGAGGGCCCCCGCTCAGATCTTCAGCCTCCTGCTGCTGTGGCTCCCAGGTGAGAAGTTGCTCAGCCCTGGCTGGGCAGGACCCCTGGCCCTCAAGGAAGCCCTCTGATGACAGGATGACAGTGTGGGTATATTTTCTGTTTCCATCCCAGGGGCCAAGTGTGACATCCAGATGAGCCAGTCTCCACCCTCCGTGTCTGCATCTCCGGGAGACAGAGTCACCATCTCCTGCCGGGCCAGTCAGAGTGTTGGCAGTTATCTAAACTGGTATCAGCAGAAACCAGGCAAAGCTCCTAAGCCCCTGATCTATGGTGCATCCAATTTGCACCCCGGGGTCCCATCCCGCTTCAGTGGCAGTGGGTCTGGGACAGATTTCACTCTCACCATCAGCAGCGTGGAGCCTGAAGATGTGGCCACTTACTTCTGTCATCAGTGGAATAGTAAACCTCCCACAGTGACACAAGCCTGAACAAAAACCACCCAGGGAGCAGCTGTGTGAGGCTGGGCAGCCCAGCTACTTTCCAGCTGCTTCTATCTTCTGAGAGCACATCTCAGATGGAGTCTCACTTCGAAGGACTGAAGGGTCTGGTAGAAGGAGCAGGTGGCTCTTTGTCCCTAACTCTCTTTCCCTCCTAGTCCAGCAGCACAGAGAAAACAATGTCTCTGTGGATTCAATAAAGACAGAGCTGATGACACCTGAGCTGTCTGCCTATGACCTGATGAGGTCATACAGTGGTAGGGAGCCACTGTAGTTTGAGTAAGAAGTTTTTAAAATAAAATACACACACACACACACACACAGATGATTAAGTTTCCTAGAAATTGAGCATAATTATTTTCCCATAACACCCTCCTCCCAAGCTGACCTCATCTCCCCAGCAGGTGTACAGATGTTCCAGCTGAAGACACTGATCCCACAGACTAGAAGGGGACCTGCCCCGGCTCCTGCACAAGCTAAGGGTTTGCAGTTGACAAGGGCATGTGCCCCCATGACAGTGTCCACAGAGCAGCTTCACTGTTTCAAATTCCTTCATGCTCCACCTCTTAATCCCTCCATAGCTTTTGAGGTCATTACTGTCCCCACTGTGTCCCCTTCCCCTGAATGTCCTTCAGATAGTCACATGCATGCACATTTTTCAGTCTGATTTCTGCCCTTAAAATTAACTTTCTTCCGTGCCTTTTTTTTTTTTGTCTAATCAGGAATCACAAATTAAATTATCAGCAGCACACAGTCACCCCCTAGGATGCCTGACTATGGACAGTGACCCCTCCTCACATCGTCACCTGTCATGATGATGTGACATCGGGGACTCCCTCAAATATCGTGGTGAGGATCATTTAGTGTTGAGCAATGATCCATTGTCTGGATGAGCAACAGTTTATTTATATATTCACCACCCCATGGAGGATACCTGACTCTCCCAAATTCTTAATTTATGAATAAAGTCCCATAAGCTCTGAGGTCGGGTGTAATGTGGATGTTTAACCCTTTGGGGGAAATGCGAAGGAGTCCAGTTGCTGGATGACATGCAGGAATGTGCTTATCTTGTAGGAAACCAGCACCCTGTGGTCCAAAGTGATGGCACCAATTTGCGTTCCCACAGTGATGTGTGAGGCAGTCCCTGGAGTCACATCTCAGTGGCAGATGATGTTGTGATGAAGTGTCACTGTTCTAGAGTCAGGCATCCCAGAGGGGTTACCGTGGGGGCTACTGTGGATGTCCTTTGTATTTCCAGATGATGTGACATGTGGCCCATCTCTTCACTTGCTTATGAGTCGACTGTGTATCACCTTGGGTGAGGGGTCTGCTAAGGACATTGCCCCAATTTTTATTGAGGTGTTTGTTCTAAGAATTGTCTGTGTATTTCAAATAATAGCGCCATCCCTGATATGTCTTTTGCAATTTTTCTCCCTATTCTTTCTTGTCTAGAATTGTTTTTACAGAGAGAGGTAGAGGTTAAATTACAATCATTTCATGGTCTGGGGCCATGTGTTCAGGGAAGCAAACACCTGACATGGGGTTCTCTGTCGCTGTCCAGGACATGAGAGCACATCATCACTGAGTGGGTAAATTGCCTGCTATTGTGGTCCTCAGAACTCTTTAGAAAGCCCAGGGCAGGGCGCTTAAGCTCTACCCTCTGCTGCACCTCTCCAGTTGACTCTCCAGAACTGCAGGTGTGATGGACAGGAGTGAATCCTCTCCTCCTTCAGAGATCTATGAAGACCTTTTATTGACAATTCTAAGGAGACATAAAGAGAAAAGGGGCTGTGGTAAATGTGCTTCCAGTAGAGATGGCCATACGGGAGGTGACAACTAGCACCCCAATGTAAAAAAGCATCACCTGCACAGTGGGGTCCTGTCTCTTCACATTGTCCAGTGTCAGTTTCAAAGGTGAGGATGGGAAGCGAGGAGCAGTCGCTGTCACTGTCTGTCCTCTGTCAGGGACCGTGGTCAGGACTGGAGACGCAGGGGTCTCCTCCCTCGGGACCTCATGCGGGTCACTCTCCACCTGTGTCCTCTCCATCACCTGTGGCCTGTGTGCACGACCAGATTCAGACGTGGTCAGGCATGTGTTATTTTCATGTTTGTTTGCTTATTGTCATACATACATCCACGCACACACATATACAGTTTCTTATTTACTTAGTTCCATTCCCCCAAGAACTCTTTCCCTTCAGAAATTTCTGAAATTAATCTATTATGACTACAGTGTGTAAGGATGACAGAGTTCAACAGACTTTAACAACTGGCTGCCCTAATTGGCATTCACTGAGATACATTTTTTTTTACTCTTTCTTCTTAAACAAGTCTATTTGGTCTCTCTAAGAGAGAAAGTTTATTCTCCTTGCCAGGGTCTTCTGACTTAAATATACTTATGGAATTCAGTGTACTAGGTCCTTCTATCTGAGTTAAACTGTTAACCTGATAACAGCAGATACAAAGGACACGGACCCTCACATCCATCCTGTACCTTGAGACGCTGCTCATCAGTCCAGAGGAGGAGCTGAGTCGCCAAGATCACCCGGGAGAAGCCAAGAAGGTGGTCACTCACTGACCTGAGGGAGACCTGGACACGTCTCTGCGTGGTCAGAGGCAGTGCCTGAGCATATGCTATTTGAAGAGAAGCAGGAATTGAAGCTTGTATTGTATTGTGCACAAAACAAATAAACTTGCAGAATCTGATCTTTCCTGTCTTGGGGATACACAAATGTTTCTTTCAGTTTACATGAGACTGACGAAAGACAGAACACTCACTGTGTTCCTGTGAAACCCTCAGGGCTCCCCTGGGCTCTCTCCACCCCACTGCCCCTAGCAGGGCATTTGCATGCGGGTCCCTAGGGAGGACCTGCACCTTCAGGACTGACATAAAACATCAGCTGCAGAATGATCTCACCCGACAGGGCCATCAGGTCACCCTCTCAAAATGAGGTTCCCTGCTCAGCTCCTGGGGCTGCTGATGCTCTGGACCCCAGGTAAGGCAGAGGGGTGAGAATGGAGCCCAGGGTGGGGAACCTGAACTCTGGGGTCCTCTGCCCCCATGTGTATTCCGTCTCTGTGTTAGGTGTGTATGTCTTGTCCTTAAGAGAAAGTGGTGCTAAGTCTGTTACTATGTGAAGCATCTGTACCCTGGGGACACTGTCTAGAGAGGGCAGGCAAAGTTTTGGGGTCTCTTTCCACGGGCTATTTATTGTGAGCTCATGGTTTGTTGTACAATTATGTACCTCAAATATTGATAGTAAACAAAGCAGTATTTTAGCCTAAATGAATAACAAAATGGAATTAATAAAAATGACTGATAATACTTGTCTTTACTTGTCACTTTTCTCTCCTTTCTTCAGGATCCAGTGGGGAGGTTGTCCTGACACAGACCCCACACTCCCTGCCTGTCGTCCCTGGGGAGCAGGTCTCCCTCTCCTGCAGGGCCAGTCAGAGCCTCATTCATAGTGATGGAAACACCTATTTGTATTGGTTCCAGCAGAAGCCAGGCCAGTCTCCAAGATGCCTGATCTATGCTGTGTCCAACAGAGACCCTGGGGTCCCAGACAGGTTCATTGGCAGCGGGTCAGGCACAGATTTCACCCTGAAGATCAGCAGGGTGGAGACTGAGGATGTTGGAATCTATTACTGCTTTCAGGGTACACATACTCCTCCCACAGTGGTTGAGCCCCGAACAAAAACCTCCCTCATGGCCTGGACCAGATGCCCACATGTTTGACTTTTGTCTCATGAGCAGTCAGAGAGGACTCTGAGTGTGTAAGAGAAAGGTGGTAGAGACCTCTGGACCGTGAGTGTCTCAGCCCACTGGAGACACCAGCTGTGAAGCCCTGTCAGTGCACAGCATTGACCTGGAACAGGGCAGGGAGCATAGGGGGCCTGGAACTGGGAACAGCCCCTTATGGTGAAAGGGACAACTGCTTGGATGCTCCCTGCCTGGCCTGCATTGGTCAGTGACATGTAGTCAGCCTCATAACCACACATGACACAGACATTTTGCAATAAAGACAAACATAATGGAATTTATCAGATTGTTGTGATTTCTATAACATAATTTTTGGTAATTTTGTTAAATTGGTATTTTGCCATATAATCAATTTCCTGCTTCGTCATTACATAAATTATCATCTCCACTCATATGGTTGGAAAAACATGCTGCAAAGCTATTCTCAGTCATAACACGATGACAACACTTACTCAAAACGTTTCTTTTTTGAGCATTACAAGAACATGATAATTCGTAGCAAATGCAAGATTTCCTATTTCCTTTTTTTAAAGATTTATTTATTTATGCATACAAAACATGGGTACAAGCCAGAGATGTGGGGGTTGAGAGGATTCACCAGAGACAGAGGGGGAACAGAACAGGCAGACTGACAGAAATACACTGCTGAGGGGAGCAACAGGCGAGTCAGGAGAGGTCTGCTGGGCCATGTGGGTAACTCCCTGGCAGGGGATTGAACTTGTGTTGCAGTGCTGCGGATACCTTCATAGGTTGCATCTTAACCCCTTGCACCACCAGGAGGCCCACGATTTCATATTTCAAGAACACATTTATCTTTAGACCAGTGAAAGCTACTGAGTGGGCATCAGCTCCATGGACATCAATCTGTTCTTGGGAAAGTAGACTCAGAAACCCAGGGAATGTGCAGCTGGAACAAGGGGTGGAATACGAGGCTTCTGTGACCATTTTTGGGTGTAACTCAGGTCTCTGGCCTAGGGGCATTGAACCCAGAATCTATAATCTCCAGTTTGAATCACTGCCCCAGAGGTTTCCTGCACCAGGCACATTACAATGCGAAGGTAACTGGGAGCTGAAACAGGGAGAAGAGTGACAAGGACAATTTCCTTTCTGTCCGGATTGTCATAGGACGCGCAGGGATCACTCTCACCCTCAGAAGGAATAGTCTGCGTTGATCGTCAGACTCAGTTATCTCCTTCTTCATCTACTTACAAGATTCAAACTGCTCTTTGCAGATTACTTCCTTTCACAACCACCTTTGGGATTAGTAGAACCAGGATCCTGTATTAATAATTTTTATACCAAGAGATTTCAGTGGTGATTGGGTCTTTATGATTCTGTTTCCTGTGGATTCTGTTTCTCCTTTTCATAATAATTTTTGGTGCCCAATTAAGACACTTGAAATGTAAACTAATCCAATTAAGACACTTGAAATGTAAACTAATGTCATATTGAAAAATAGTTTTATTAATGAGTTCTACCATATTTGACAAAAAAAGCCCTGCCAGTTTTGATCAAAAACAGTTTTTCAATACCACACATATTATATCTCACACACTGTGAAATCTACCTTATAAGAAGGGACATTTCTGTACAGAAGGCATCTTTGCGTACAATAGTTTCAGGTTAGAGAAAATCCATGGGAGAAATTTGAGTCATGGGCCTGATTACAGAAACCCAAATGTCAAGAAGATTGATGAAGGGACAGCAATTTGTAAGGTACATCTGGATGTGTGTTTGTGTGTATGTGTGTGTGTATTGGGGGGGGGAGAGTAATTTTGATAGGTTTTCAAACATGTTATTTCTACCTGCACTCAATTATGAATTAAATATTCAAAAAAATTCCCGATCTGGAATGCCTTTTAGTACCAAAGCTAAAAAAAGGCAAATTCTGACTAAGTGCTCTGGACTGAGCAGACTCAGCAAGTCCACAGCCTCACACACTGATCCCCTCCTATTCCCATCAAGACCACCCTTGTAGGGCTTGCGCCCCCTTTGTAATTACAATAAATGGCCATTATTTCACAGTCCATACCAAAAATGTTTATAGTTAGAAGTCAACATGGTATTTGTAACTCAAGTCAACATGTTTTTCATTTATGAAATGAATGTTTTTATCTGTGAAAATATGGAATTGTCTTGAGGTGAATGGAATTCATGGAATTCCTTTTCCAAATAACAAAGAATGGAACTCTTTCACTTGAATGCCTTTTTTCCCTTAGAAGGTCAGGAATGGTCACAACTGTCATGTGAGCAGCTGTTTTATCTGAGCAAAGAAGACAAAATCTGGGGCTGCTTCTTGCAGTCCTTTATATTCTTATCAGTTGCTCCACCCCCAAATGCCATACTTTTTAGCATTTTCCCTGGGGCTATCTGTCCTCACCAGCAACCCCCTCCAGGGGGCATCACCTGTCACAGTCTTTGCTTTACCCACATGTAACAGTTGAAGTCCTTCATTTAAGCATTATAAAGTTTAAATTCTGTGGTAACCAATGATAAGAGTTGGAGCAATCAGGCCTTCAAAAACACAGTGAAGGAGGCTTTTTTACACAAAGAGATTTTCTTTGCAACAAGTAAATATCTCTTACAAAATAGCAACCAGTACCCTCATTTCAGAGCCCGTCCTATGAAATAATCCTCTGCCAAAAAGAACTTAGAGGAACAATAGTGCAGACTCTGAGCCCATGGATAATGTTCTGAATCTACTCCACATCTTGACATATGTAAGGACTCTACTCCCATGTCTAAGCCAAAGAAATGTCAGGTTCTGAAGACTACAAATCGCAGCACGCCATGAGCCTAGTATCCTGAATCGGCAGCTGCTCAGAAGGAGGGAGGTGGATATATACATAGAGGAGAAAGGAGGAAGAGATCACATGGCGACACTTGGAGGAGAGATACTTGAGGGGAGACACATGGAGGAGTGACATGTGGGTGAGAGACATGTGAAGAGTCTGCTCCTGGGACATAAGTGCTTTGCAGAGATGATGGCAACTGTTGTAGTGACATCATGGTGGATTACATCATGCATTTTGAATTTGGGGCCCTCCTTCAGTCCAAGCTCTCTGGCACCTCCCTAACTCCTTTCTTGAGGTTCCCCACCAGAAGTTTCCTTAGACTGTGGCAACTGGCCTGCTTTGGGTTGAACCTCTTTTACTGGGCTTTTGCCCACAGGGAAATGGGTAATTTTCAGAGTTTGTTATTATTTGAAATCTTCTCACTGCCTCTGAAAATGGAAATGTCTACATACTAAGAGTCTGCTGTCTTTGCCTCCGTGCACATAGATGACCAACCCGTTGAAGGTGCACCCTTTAACAGTGTGAAGCCCCTGCTAGCCAGGGTGGTACCATTGCAAGAACATATTTTGGGATGGACAGATTTTTGTTCCCCTTCAAAAATCAAGGAATTTTAATTCTGTGTAAGATTACCAATCAGAACTGAAGGTAAATGTTTTTTTAAAAGTAAACATAGGAAATTAACCACTAGAAGGCACAAATTAATTGAAATTCTATAAAAAGTTTATCAGAGAGAATAAAGTAATGGCAGGTATAAGTTCAGAGAGGAAAAAAGAAGTGAGGAACAATAGGGGGGTTAACCATAGTAGATAGTTACATAAATTTTGACTGTATAAAAAATTTCTTGTGGTAATTAAATTCCAGATCCAGCTCACATTATAAACAGGACACAAAAGACAGCTATAATCACACATTCTTCAATTAAGAATTTTTAAAATCAGATTTTCATAATTGCATTTCAACTGTGTTAATATTGGTGGCACCTATGGTGTCACAGCAAGTGGTTAGAATTAGCTCAGAGCTCATGGTCTATTAGACTTTGGTACCAACTTAGCGTTAGTAAATGAAGTTCATT